CTGATATTCTCACAAAGCCTTTACCGGCTGAGGTACACAACCGTTACACCCAGTCTCTTGGCCTCGTTCCGTATCGCCTCACCAAGGGGGAGTGTTGAAGCGCCTAGTGGCTCTGGCTCGGCGTTCCGCCCGGCATGGACTTAAGGTGGACATCTTAGAATAGGCGCTACTAATACGTAGATAGTGATTGGACAATCATGTGTAGTGCTCCCACGCACGGACCTCTTTATGGCAGGCTTCCCCATTCTAGCGGACCTTCAATTTTGCTTCCTTTTTAGTATATAATGACTCCTCTCGCATCCCCACTCTGCGTGCTCTTTCCCTTCGCACTCAGAGTAAGTTCCCTTCGTCGCCCTTGCGCATTATGTAGTATGCTCACCGGACCCCTGTCTAGCTAACACCGTGTGTATTAGATCGTGCCCGCGTGCCACTCGCCAGTTCGCGCTCGCGCAGCCCGGTCGTCGTATCACGACAATACCTGCCAAGACTCATGCGCTGAAATTGAGGTTTCCAGATCAGGCGCAGGCTAATCACCTTGCCGTAAGCCTACAACGCTAATCATGAAGGGCGAGGACGTCGCGGGTACGCAGGTAGAAAGGGAAGCACGATCAACATAAGGCGGGCTCGCACCACCAAGTATGCAGACGCAGCACAGTATACTAGGAACAGGTCCAAGGGCTGCTAATTTGTTGGCGGCAGACATTAATGCGTTGTCCTTTGAGAGCTTGCATTGAATTTTTAGATTCGTATTTTGAACCCATGTTCAGCGGCGCCGCTAAATGAGAGACATGCTACAGCATTAGTCTCGTTTGCTGCATGGTTATCAGAATCTGAGATTTGGAAGCTCGCGAAATTTTACATTGAAAGCATCGGGAAGTGCGCCGCGCGCCGACATTACACTGTCAATTTTGCCAAGACTAAATAACTACGCCTTTCCCAAAGTTGCAGCAATGTGATCTAAGTCAGGAGCCAGAGGACTGTCGCTCTCCCAGCCCTTCAGCAAGAGCGGATCCAGCTCCCCACTGTACTTGTCGTCCCGCATCCACTGCTCAATACTCTGCACCTTGGGGTGGACCTTGCGGACCCAGGCCATGTCCCTCTTCGTTATATCGTCCCGGAACACATACCAGAACCCCGTGAAGCTCTCCTTCCATGTCATCGGATCTTCGCCCTTCGAAGCAGGGAAGTCGGTGTTCTTCCAGTTGCGGAACCACTCCTCAACGGTGAGGTACACTGCGACGGCCGGCAGCCCGGTGGCCTTTTTGAAAGCCTCGACGGTGTCCTCGAGCGTGACTACGTCGCCCGCGATCTCGAGGTCCTTTCCCGAGACTTCGGCGCGGTTGTCGAAGGAGTAGCGGGCGAAGAAGCCGATGTCCTTGAGGGACACCATCGGGACGCGGCCCTGTCCGGTAGGGAACGCGAAAACGAGCGTGCCATCAGCACGGCGGGTGAGAGGACCCCACAATAGCTGCACAATTTCTCGTCAGGGAGCTGTGCAAACTCATACAGAGTGTACACACCGATTTAAGCATCTCCATATAAGGCGCCGTGGTGAGACAGCTCCAAGACAAGTCGCTGTCGCTGACAACGGAAGGCTGCGCTTTCAGCCAGTCTGCAACGCGGCCCTTGCCATCAAATAACCCAACCCTATACTTCGGATCATAGCCTGATTTCTGTACAATAGCGTCAAGGCCGCTGAGTTTCCAAAATGACAACTGAAATTACCTTAGCGACATAGTCAAGGTTGCTCCAGACGTAGTGACGGACGGTTTTCGCCTGTTGCGCGAGCTCGAAGATACGCATCCCGAGGAAGACCTCCTTTTGCTCGCCGACGGTATGCGAGTCCGTGTTCACGAAGGCTCCCCAGGCACCCTCTAAGGCGGCAAGAACAGTGGAAAAGTCGTGCAACGAGCCTGCAGTAAACGATACCGTTAGCCTGTCAGTTTTAACGGATTGTTTGCCTGCGTACCTTTGAAGAGCTCTACGCCTCTGGCTGCAAGCTCTTGAGCGCGACTGTTGCTGGGATCACGAGTCAAGGCGCGGACGGCGTAGGGAGAAGGCGAGCCATCGGCGGATGCGGCAAGGAGCGCATCGACGACAGCAACACCTTGGGCGCCGGTGGCACCGATGACTAGGACGATTTTCTTGTTGGTGGCATTGGAAGACATGGCCATGTGACTGAGAAGTGCCGATAATATCGTTTCGAGTGCAAGTCGCTCCTTTTTATACCTGCCGGGTCTATAGCATCGTTGGCGCCGGCTAAGGCATGTGAATCTTACTGCACTGCCCGAGAATATGTGTCGGCCTGTAAATTTCGTGGCCGACAGCCCTCCATTGTACATTGCACACCGAGTGTCGCTGTAACGGTGTCCCCGGCGTTACCTGAAATGGCATGCCGGAGGCCGATTTGAGGAGTTTCTCCGCCGAAAAAGCCCAGGCATACCCATACTAAGTGCTACACACAAAGAGGGTGAAAAATGTGTCACATCCCGCTATCTCCATGAGCAAACAATACCCTGTACGCGCGTCCAGATAGCCCCACGACGGGGAGTGTGGGGAAAACGTGGTCTGCTGGCTAAGCGGTGCTCCCCGGGGATTGAGAGAACGACCAGAGTGCTGCAGCAGTTTAAATGGATCTGTGAGTCATATTGTCATTTTAGCTCATCACGAAGTACAGGAGTTGATACGTGACCATACCCTCGGTGGCTTGAATGAATTATCAATGCGATGAATCAGCGTTATGTTACCAATGAACTACCAATCGCCATTAAGGCAGGATGATTCTCCAGGATTACAGTAATCTTTGAGGAACGATAATAAACCCATTGCGCAAATGACGCGAGTGGATTGGTCAATTTGAATGATAGATTCCGTTTTCGCTCGCCCTGTAAATACCAGCGCTTTCCTGGCCCTGATTAGTCAGCACACGCGTCTGTTGCCAGGTAGCCAGGCTTCTCTTCTCCGTACCTCACGGTCCGCACCAGGCGAACACCAGGACAACTCTGAGTCGCCTCCTCCAGCATGCGCGATCGTTACACTATCTGTTCCTTTTCTTTTCTTTTTCTTACTTCCCCTTAACAAGTACTGCCTCTTGCGGTGACTGCTACCGCCGTCCGCCGCCTCACCTGGGCCAATACGGCGTGAAGGCTGGCTCTTTGAGGGCCCAAAGACATCGGGGATTCAATGATGCAACGGCCTTATACAAGCCTCAAAGGGCCGTTTCTGGCTATCCTATCACCATTTGAGCTACCGCTCGCTGTAAACACCGCAGCGTGAAATAGATATGTTTTGAAAGTTATCAAGCATAAGATACGTAACCGCTCTCTTACTCACTAGCTACCTATGCTAGAGACATCTTTTATGAAGCCTGCAGTGAACAAGTTTACCATCTTCGTGCGCCCTCTGATCCTACCATGATCTGCAACCCTCGATGCGGCCCCCGGACGATGCTGAAGCGACTATGGACCGGTATGGAGATCTCGGCGCTGATAGCTTTTTGACCTTGTTCTATAGCATCGAATGATCTCCTGTGAGATTGAGACGTCTCACTCACCGACGTTGCAGTCGCTCGTGTTGTGTTCTCTACCCCTTGCTCCGGAAGTTCCGGGTCATACGAGTAAGTCTGCCGTATCAATATCGTGCCTGCTGGCATTCAGTCAAGATCACTTCTCAGCATTATCTCTTATAACGGTCCACAGCTATCGAGCAGCTCTTGGAAAACTCGGAGGTGCTGCAATATGCGTAAATTATTTTCTCTGATTGGTTGATATGCTCTACCAGTTCAGAGCGGGGCAGAGACAACGCTGGCATTCTGAATTGCGGCGGCAACGCGAGCAGTGGCAGGGCATACACAATATAGTTGGCATCTTGTTATATCTACCAAAAAGGTCGGAATCCGTTGTATTCATAGATCGTCTGTAGACTCCTTGAATGCAGGCAGGCTACTAAGATAGCAGTACTTACCGGTGCGCAGATTGTTCGAATAGTAAGTGACTGATCGCACTGCATAGCTCGTCTCTATTCTCTTTTTTTCCACCTCTGTATCGCCACCGGCAATCTGCGAGAGTCTGCGCGGATGCGATAGCGCTACTGCGTTACCAGACATAAACATCTTGTGATCCTGTCGTCACGGTGGTGAGGGGCGTATTTCTCGTCAAGTTGCACTTACAGCTAAACCCAACTGCTTGCTAACCATAAGTATATTACAGAAACAATCTCTATGCTGCTCGCCACTGAAGCGGATATACCCCCAGAGCTAGTCCGCCGTATCGCATTGTTTTGCGTCGACTGGGACAAGGATTTGGAGCCAACGCAGAAACGAGGGCTTGCAGCATGCAGCCTAACCTGTCGATACTGGGCGCAGCTTCTAACGCCTCTTATCTTTAGGCGGCTTGTCCTCAAGAGTGCGGAAGATATATTCCAGCTACTTGCCTTCCTCAGCGCGGCTGATGACCGGACTCCTCCCCTCAGAGAAGCTGTCAAAAAGATAGAGCTGGGCGAAGACCGAGCGACTACTAAAATCCCGTGGAGCCACCACATGGTCAAGTTGCACAAGCAGCTTCCGAACGTCAACTTCCAGCGCGATATGCAGCTGACCGTGACGGGGTCCTCAGGCAGTGGAGACGCAGGCATGGACGATACGTTCCTACTCCCTTTCCATACTCTACCCAGGACCCTGCCTGCATCCTGGACGCCCATCAACTACTTGACTCTGCGTGGCCTACGCATCGCGACGGTCAAGGCACTCACGGACTGCACCAAGAACATTGCCACGCGCTTCCTCGTCCTAGACGACGTCACGTTCAAGAACGAGGAGATGGGCGAGATCCGGCGGCGACGGCTGCGGCGGTGGTCGGAGCTTGCCACCATCAGCATCACCCGCTGCTTCGAGCACGACGGCATCGACCACCAATTCAAGCTGGCTAACTTGCTGTTTGCCGGCCAGGGATGCATGTATGCTAATGACGATGCTCTCGCGCTCGCCGAGAAATGCCTGACTCTCCTCCTGGCTCACACGAACAACGGGGCCTCGCGTCCCTGGTTCGGCGTGAACTACAACTTCGCCGATGAGCTATACAACGGTACTTGGCACGCGTACTCGAGATTGTAAAGTTTGCTGATATTCCCCGTCAGACGCCCCATATCATAAGTACGGCTACCGCGCTCGATGCGAAGAGACTGGCATCGAAGCCCGCGTGGAGCTTTCAGTTCCAGAGAACGCACAGCTCTCAACCTATGTAGCCGTTCACCTCGAATTCTTGCGCACTAAACCCGACTCCTCGACCCCGCCCGTGAAATGGGACGAGCTCGAGCGTGAGCTGCCGAAGCTCGTGGAAACCGACAAGCTCTGGTTTTACATCCAATGTCCTACGCCAGCCGTCGCGCGAACCGTTTTGCGGCCCATGCTGAAAGGCAAGATTCTCGCCGAACTATGCGGCCAGCAAAAGCGCGTCCGAATGCTTGTGTATGACGAGCATGACGCCGACTTCGTTCTCAGGCTTACGAGCGCCAAGATTCTCTCTGCGCCGAGGTCTTTTACCCTCGGCGGCACCACGGTCTCACTCAACATCTCGAAGCGCATTGAGTGGCTGCTTCGCGGTACCGAGCGCAGGGCGTATCTGCTTAGCTTAGTTCTCAGCGCCCGCGCAGCAGCAAATCATACTAGCTCAAACTCTGATAGTGCTACGGCTTCGAGTTCCGCCGGCTCAAGTAAGACATAACTGGTGAGGCGAATCTTCCAATTTACCCCCTACATGCGTCATTGATATACATGATGGCCAAAGAACGACTTGCAGCAAATCTCATCCTCGCGGATCGGAGAGACCAATGAAAATACTACTTGGCTTACTGGATAGTCAGTTTTGGACAGACAATTAAATGGAGCGTTCACGGCCACTCACCTAAGAAATGGCCGCACCTGTAACTTACGACAGGTAAGTCGTGTCCACCCAAGTCGCCCAGTCTGACCCGACTGTTGTCGCGATGGTGTACTGTGCAGCCTGCGAGCTATCGAGCAGTGTCGCGAACGAGGGGCGGTCCGCGTCAGCCACGCCCGGACCCGTACTATTAAACTCGGCGAAAAAGACGTCCTCGGTGTTAGGGTCAGTCGGCTGCCAGACGGACCAGATAGCCTCGTCCAGCTGCATACCGTTGAAGTGAGTGCGTGTAAACCGGCTGCAACGGGGGACGTACAGGTGCGGTGATGACTGTGTTCTTGAAGACGACCCTGAGGCTAAGTTGAGGATATCAGCAGAAGGAGACTGTAAATTATGCTTACTTGGCAAAATCTATTAGAGATATAAGATAAACGTCACGACGGCGCGGGAGAAGCGACATACCGCCCCAAGGCCGACCGAGGAAAGTTTTTCCTGTTATGTTGGAGAATGCATCGGAAGCAGCAACGACGGTATTGGACTCAAAGAGATCTGCACGAAAGTGTTACTTCGTCAAGGCATGCTATGTGCAATTACATGGACGTACAGAGGTTGGTGTCGTTGCTCTCGCGACCCGACGCGGTGACGCAGCCGGCGCCTTTGGTAGCGATTGTGTTACCATAGAAGTATGCAGTACCCTCGCGACCGAAGATGAAGTCGACAGCGCCCTGGATTTTGCAAAATGTAAAGATGTCACAGCGACAAGCGGTTGGTGAGGCGCACCTCGATGTATGACTTCAGGTATACCTGGTTCCCTTCGTTTGCATACAGTGTGTCCTTGAAGAGTGTGATATCAGCGCAGATCCGCCACACTCCTAAAAGGTGCTCGTAGATCTCACCTGGTACGAGAAGAACCGGCATGCGTAGGCGCCGAATTGACTGCCATATTGACTGAGTGCAATAGCCTGTCCGTTGGTTTCCGCAACACCGAAGTCATTGCGGATGTCGAGATTATAGAGCCTAGAGTTATTGGTTTTGATCCGTAGGGTGCCAGTAGTGTCATCGCTGGACGAAGTTGCAAGCGAAGCATTGTGTGCAAGCACGACCGTGTTGGAGTTGAAGTCCATAGTGTTTTCCGTCCAGCCGAAGATCTGCGAAACATAGATTAGCATTATAATAGGCGCTTTACCGCATCAAGTGGCGATATACCGTCACAGGGCCCTCCCGATCTACGAGGACCTGCTCCTTGTACGTTCCGGGAAAGATGAAAATTGTCTGTGTGGAATCGTCATTTGGTAGAGAAGCTACTGCAGAGGACAGCGTTGAGAACTGGCCGGCTGTCGCGTTCTGGCTGACCACAACGGAACCAACAGGGGGAGAGGTCCTCGCGGCCGCGTACGCAGCCGGCAGGACACTACCAAAGATGAAGGCAGCGAGAGAGAGTAGCATCGAGTGCGTCATCGACAAGAGGAAATAGACAGCGTAACTCCACCACGATGCAGTATGCTTATATAGTTTTGCGCTGAATGAAATACAAAGCCAGCGCACCCAGCATAAATCACAACTTACCAATGAAACCAGCGTGACCTGTAGTATATGGGATTCCGGAGGAACTTGGCGGGCCGCCGGATATCACGTCGTCGGGGAAGAAGCATCGCCAGAGAATCAACAGCCCGATCAGGAAACACCGGCGGATGGTCATCTGTTAAGCTTCCAAAGTCAAGATGGGTCTCATGAGGCGAGTCGCTTCTTTAGTAGGTCACGTACCCATGAATATTGCACTTCTGAGATGGTGCCGCCAAGCGGGTACAAGCAGGTCTGAAGCTCCGCTGAAGGTAGGAATGCCACGCAAGACATTTTGGCGAAAGGAATCCTTCGTTAGTGCAAAGTATCGTACTCCTAACATCAATAGAGTCTCGGGTCAGTGTCAGTACTCGTACTCACTGGCAAGCAGCATAGCTCCAAGTCGAAGACAATCAAGACTCAAGAGACCTCCCAGCCTTCCGTCAGCTATAACAAAGAGAATTTCTAGGTCATAAAACAACTTCTTAGATGATATATTCCTCTCAAGCTCTTGTCTGGCTTGTAGGGACTAAGTCAAGACGTGGTAGGCGAGCCGAGTTGCAGTAGCGCCTGGTTCCGACAACGTCCGCTTAATCTAATCTAATCTCGCAGTACTCGTTTTGAATCTTATCTTATCTCTTCTGCTTACAGTGAAGCACTGAAGCACCCCCGAACTCTGAGTCTGTCCTCACTTTCTTTCCCAGTTACCACCATGTCGCAGAGAAAGGACCGCCTTATTCTACCCGGCTCCATAATTGACACAGATCTTTACAAGGTGCATTCCTTGGTGTGAAGATCACAGTGTTCCAGACTGAGGTCTGTAGTTCACGATGCAACAAGCCGTCTTACGATATTTCCCTGAAGTACAAGCGACTTATCGATTCACACACCGCGATAAGGACATATACTTCTCGAGAGAATGTTACGAGCTCTTTGTAGAGTCTGTTAAACGTATGTGACTCGGAGCACACGACCACTTCATCCTTGCCGAACAGGTTTCCTATCCAGACTTCGACGAGTTGGGCCTGACAGATCCAGAGCACGTCTGGCTTGCGAAGGCTTGTCCCTACTTCTCTGCAGAATACCTCAATTACCTCGCCAAGTTTCGTTTCAAGCCGGAGCAAGTCAAGGTCACCTTCCATCCGAAAGATCCCTCCGCGCCAGTGTCACGCTACCAGCCGCCGCCACACGAGGACGGCACCCGGGGCAGAGACGAGCTTGGGAAGATTGAGATTGAGGCGACTGGACCTTGGCATGAGACGATCCTGTGGGAAGTACCGCTCATGGCGTGTTTGAGCGAGCTGTTCTTCACCACGGTGGACACGGACTGGAGCTATGATGGGCAGGAAGGTGCGTCTCAAGTCGTATCGACTCCTTTAGACGTGCTAACCGCGAAGTGAGCACCTAGAGAACGCATATGGCAAGGCCTGCACGTATCTTGAACACGGCTGTACCTTCAGCGAGTTTGGCACGCGTCGGCGAAGATCGTACTACATCCAGGACCTCGTGGTCCAGACCCTTATCCGTGCATACAACGATTACCAGAAGGATGAAACCGCGCAGAAGGTTGGCGGCAACGGGGGTGAGCTCATGGGCACCAGTAATGTGAGCGGCCCCAGTTTGGTCTTGTCACTTCAACGTACCTGACATTGCCCACAGGTTCACCTCGCATACAAGCACTCCATCATGCCAATTGGCACCATCGCTCAGTACACCCACTTTTTAAGTCTCTATGCATCGCTTCTAACATCTGCACAGCGAATGGTTCATGGCCGTCGGAGCCCTACGCGGGTACGAGCACGCGAACGCACTCGGGCTCAAGCTCTGGGAAGACGTCTACCACGACGCGCTTCTCCTCGCACTCACGGACACGTTCAGCACTGAAGCGTTCTTCCGCGACTTCACGAAGGAGCGTGCCGAGCGGTGGGCGGGCCTCCGCCAGGACTCAGGCAACCCGTTCGTGTACGCGCCGCGCGCGAAGGAGAAATACGAGGCGCTTGGCGTCGAATACAAGGATAAGAAGACGATCATCTACTCGGATAGCGTCGACGTTGAGAAGGCGCTCAAGCTGCAGACACAGACGAGGGAGATTGGGTTCCTCGGTGAGTGCCCAGCACCTAATACGTGGGCTGCCGGCACTGACTGTGCGCTAGCGAGCTTCGGCATCGGCACGTCGCTCACCAACGACTTCCGCTCGGTCTCGAGTGGCGGGAAGGAGAAGAGCAAGGCGCTGAACATGGTCATCAAGCTGGGTAGCGTCGGTGGGCAGCCGTGCGTCAAAATTAGCGACGAGCTCAGCAAGGTGCCTTTTCTCTGTGATGCGGTAGTTTGTGAGCTGACTCTGCCGTGGCAGAACACCGGTGACCCTGCAGCCGTCAGGCTCGTGAAGGAGACTTTCAATATCAACGCGTAGGGTGGATTGCTGGACTAACGTAAGAGGTGCGTGCCCTTCACCACTGGCGGAAGCGGTCCCACTGACGCCGCTGGTGCTTGTGGAAACCTCAAATGATGTACTTCTACTTAAGATCATACCTAGACTACATTGACGACATACGAAGCGGATGCGCGTCGCGCAACGGCTCAGCTTTCCACAGTAGAGTAGCGTATCGTCTCAATTATGAAAGCACAATGGAGATGGCGGATTTGCTGCGTATTCATTTCAATTGTGCACAGCTCACTTCTGCGAAATATCTGCTAAGGCCATCCCCCAGAATTTGCACTGTATCTTCCGCTTATATCCTAATCTAAGTGGCTTTGCTCCACCAGAGATACTCTTATGGCCCAACGCGGCGGAAACGGACGCTACCGTCAGCGAGCAGGCGGGCGAACCGAGGGGTCTGATTTGGTGGGTCTTTGACGAATCTCAACCCGCCTCCGGAAAACTGGGCGATATCGATGACGGGTAAGTCGAGCCTGTAGCGCCCAACGAGGTCGACGAGGGCGTCCATGAGCGCCCTGCGTTGCTCCGGGTGCGGGTCGGCCGTGTGGCCGCGGGGAATGTACTCAGCCGACCTCGGTCCGTCGACGAAGACGGTGACTCTGGAGACGTAAGGCGGGACCGTCTTATCGTCAGGCTGTGTGACGCGCACGCAGATAGGTCGGGTGCCTGTTATCCATGCCTCGTAGCAATACTCCGTGCCTGATGGAGCCGAGATGCACGTCGTTAGCGATGAGCATGTAGATCATACGGCAGAGGCTACGCACCTCCCTGCACCTTGGCCCGCCATATGTTGATAGCAGGTATCTCGGGCTCGTCTTGCCACGGGAATGCGAGCATGAACTGTTCCGCCAGCCAGAACCCTCGGGCGCCCTCCACGATACTGTGAGCACCAGCGAGTATGATGGCCAGCCTCAGTGCGTCGGCAAAGTGGGATTTGTCGAAGCAGTGTCTCATGAAGACGTTGGACCCGCCATGTCTCCGTCGTGGCTGGGTGCGGTCGGCCTCACGGAGCCCTTGCAAAAAGGTAATCCGCTCGATGTCAAGGCTCGCCTTTTCCCACGTGTGTAAACTCGTGATGAAACGTATGAGGTCCCGGACAGAGCGCAGTGTGAGGTCGGAGAGCACGAGTTTTTTGAGTCGCAGGGAGGACACAGGCACTGTTCTGGGTAGAACAGTCGCAGGGAGGAGGGTATCGCTCCGCATGGACTGCTTCAAGTTGCTACCGCCCTCCTGCACGCCTTTCATAGTTAAGTTAAGACCACGGTCCCATGTGATTGAGCTGTTGTGCGCTAGGGACGGGATCCTACGACAAAGGTCGACGAGGTGGACCCAAGAGGTCTCGGAGAACCTCGCAGGCTCACAGAGAGAGATTTCAATGGACCGGATGTATTCTTGAATAGAAGGCTCGAGCGTGGTGGGCGTGGTCAAAAATGAAGCTAGCTGTGCTGCGTCCTGGTAGCTTCGCAGCACGAGGGTCTCGAATAATTTCGGCCTAATGATGATAGCCCAATAGCGACATGTCAAGCTGCATGCAGCGAGTCCTTTCTTCCCGAATGTTTCTGTCTCACCGTCATGCGAAAGTATTGCCGCGCGACAAAGCACAACGATGCGATGAAGGAGCTCCGAGGGTAACTCTGCGCCTGTAGCATAAGACATGGATGTTTTGTAAGCAGAGAAAGATGGCGAGTGCGCTCTCTAGATGTATAGCAGGATGCCAGAGGACTGACAGCAAAAGCGAACGAAGAAACGCTAGTTTGAGCCCCAGCGGATCAGCTCCGCAAGCATCCGCCTCGGTGCCGCAGTTGTTGAACGACAATTGACAGCTTACTTTGTAACTTATGTGCCATACTTACTGTAAATTACCAACTAGACGTCTACTTAAGAAACGCGACTTTACACCCATTACTTACAATATTGGCTCCCTTGACGCCCGACACGTGGCCACCAAAACAAATATCTCAGTCGTCTGTCTTATCCCTTACTCACCACTGACATACAAAATATTCACTCAGACAGCAGCGGTCTAAATCGAAAGAGCTTAAATAACACTTGATGCCACATATATCTCAATTGCGAACAGCCTCGTTAGCAATAGCCCCAGCAGGGCTCAATCGGCCAACATCGCGGAGTAAGTCTGAAGCACGTTTGAATCGAGCACTCGTCTGTATTCAGCTCCATTTATCTCGCTTACAACGCTATTTTGATCGATAGTACATAGCTTAACGCAAGGTTGGCTCTGTCGACCAGCGGCTCGGCACGCCCTCCACCAGACACAGGCTCTTCAGGTGCGCGAGAGTTGACTTTCCATACGCCAGACTGGTGAGTAATAACGGCAGGGTCGATACTAAAGCTTATAAACCGAGGAGTCTCCTCGCTCAATCCTCAAAAGCTCACACCCGACTGTTACCTTGACCTCTCCAAAAAGTCGCAGTATCCACCGGCCCTCGCAGCCGAATCCGAAGCATCCATCACCGAATCGTCGAGGTCATCGCCGGAAAGCGTCCCAAATCCATACGGACTAGCTTACAGAATCTTCAGCAATACGTGGAAACGCATCCCTTTTCCGCCACGTACTTCTGGCTTTCTATACTACCATGCGCCACCACCAGAGGGACATCCGCTCGGAGGCGAGGTTCGCTTCCGAATTACGCGCGACCCAGATCCAGCTAGCTTTGCCTCCGGGAGCGACCTTCTTCTGCCGCATGGTATCCCGTGGAACGTCCGCCTCGTCCCGTACATCGGCCCCGCCCTTCGTCTAAGCAACGTGCTCATTCAGGACGGGTTCATCACGTCTGAGCACGTCGCACGAAGCTTACGCTTGACGAAGGGGATGCCTGTAAACGTTCAGTACGACGCACGAGAGCTGCTATGGGCTTTTGGGCAGCCGTTCTCTTTCCTCCTCAGCAACGGCAAGTCCTTGAATGCGCCGCTCGTCGCGAGCACGCTCGGCACAGTAGACGGGCAAGATGTGATCCACCACATGAAACACACGCTGAGCAGTGGGCAGTGGGCATACTTTAAGCAAGGCTCACGCAGTATCTGCTTCTTCAACGAGCCAGGTGTGCGGGTCCGTCCTCGTCGCCGATGATACTTCTGATCTCGTGTTGCTCTAGGCGTCGTCGTCGCTTCTTTTGAGGTGTCTATCCTTAATCAGCACCGCGGAGATAGATGGAACAAGCCCATTATTGTGCGGATACACAACGTTATCCTACCGGATGGCGCACCGCATCCGAACGCGGACGCCGCGGGCGGGCTGCTCTGCTACAGAACCCGCACGCAGCGGGGCCAGCAGCGCCTGATCGAGTTTGATACAAAGACGACGGACAAGAAGACGATGGCGGTGCTCAGCTTTCTGAAAGAGCTGCCCGACGGGGCCGACTCGTAGGCGGCCTTGCATATGATACTTATGGCTTACCAATGTGGAACGTAAACTGTAGCTGTATCATCGACGGTGATAGACCATGTACACCTTTTATGCTGGCCGGTTGTACCGAAGCCCGTCCTTGTTCGCGGCCACACAAGACAAGTCCCGGCAAAGCAAGAGACTATGGAAGCTCACAGAGGCGAGTGGATTGAAGGAGACAGGTAATAAGCCAATGGACTTTTCGTGTGCACCCAGGGGTCACTTGACAACAGACGGCTGCAGTATGCTTCCAGCCCTAATAATTACCGCGCGGCAGTGAAGTCGGAGAGCGAACCGGCTCCTCGGCACATGCTGCATAAGTTCGACTCCGTTCCGACTCCGCACCATCACCGACTGGTCTGGACACTCGCCTGCGTTCGAAACAGTATCCTGTCCCCGTCCCAAGAGTCCTAGCCTTCGAGACTCAAAAGCCCGAGGAAAATCTTACCATGCGCCTAGTGAAGTGTCTTAAGTACATGCTTGCCCGCCCTAGTATCGCTTGGCATATGCCCTCCCGCCTTGTCATCGAACACAAGTAAAGATAACTAGCGCAAGAAGTTTCTTTGTTATCATACTACATTATTAGACAACAGCGTGTATCACCATATTATGGTACCAGCTACCTTTCCAGAGCGACGCAAAAACTGTCCACAAATCCTGTCACTGCAGCCATAAATATTAGAGTCCATTCCACAGTGCCATTGCTCAGACGCGGCACTGGTCGAGGATAGTTTGAGGGATGTCGAACTTCGCAGACACGGACGGTAGGCTGTTGATCTGCATCAGCAGGCCGACGGCCATGTGCCAGGCGATATCTAACAAAGGCAGTCAGCAGACGCAGCAAGGGTTTCCGCACAGGGACGTACGGCAATGAAGGGTCCAGATTCCGGCTAGAGAGGTACAAGTCAGCCATCACGCGCCTTGCTGCTACTAGCTGAACTTACGGTTGTCCGTGACGAAGCGTAACAGGAGCCAGCCAGCAGGGGGAACGATGTAAGAGTCGCGGCTGTGTTAGAGGGCCTTGTAAGCATAGGACGAGGAACGTTCAGGCACGCAGATTACTCACTATATCGGGTTTACAGTGTTGAGGCCAGTGCCGTTGAATGTGCCCGTATCGAAGCCCATGCTAGAATCGCAGAGATTAGCAAGACATGCCGGTACATAAAAAGACATGGGGGCCGTACACGAACGGCGTGTGACCATGAAGGTGGAACGGGTGCGGGCCGGGGTCCTGGTTTACCTGTGCAGATATATCAGCCACGATGTATCTGAGTGCACTGTAGTGTAGCTTACCAGCAAAAGGTCGACGGTCTCAATGGAGTCTTCAGTGATCATAAACTGGTTACCCAATTCCACGCTAGAACCCTCCGGAGCGAAGGACTGGCCCTTCTGAGCGGCGTCCACGATGTGCAATAGAGTCGACGAGTTTGAGAGTGGTTGCCAGCTCTGTACTACGCGTCAGTATTCGCGAGCTAGGAAGTGAGCAGCTTGTCCGCGTACCGTGCCGTTCATAAACGTAATTGTTCCACCATCAGTTGACTCTGCGACGCTGAAGTAGACAGCGTAGGATCTAGTAACCGGTGGTCAGCACGCCTGGACGCTCTGTAGGCAGGACGACGTACTTGGTACTGTCCAGCGGCTTCTGGACGATGGCCGGCGCAAGCGTCGCGGTATTGAGGTCAGAGAGACCCGAGCCCGGCACGCCAGGGTCTGTCGAGGCCGTCGGCAAGGACTTGCTGTTTCCGTACCTGATGATTCCACGAACGTCCGTGTTGACATCCGGGAGGCTGCCTACGGTTGTGAGCTCAGAGCGCATCCAATAGTTGCCTTGGGGCTCTGCAGTCTGGTTCGTGGTGATGAGCACCGAGTAGCGCTGCCCGACGGCGAGCGAGACGCCAGAGACAACCTGGGGCTCGATGAGCGTGCTGTCAGCCTCGATGATGGTCAGTGAGTGATAGTCCACGGAGAAGCGAAAGGCGGCGGCAGAGCCTTCGTGAATGAGGCGCAGGCGGTAACTGCGGAACGTGTTAACGAAGAATCTCCATGAGCGTGCAAAGTCTTACGTCTTGTTGGGCTTCAAGTCAAACTGTAGTATACAGTCAAATCGCTGTAGATATGGTGCGCGATGCAAGAACTCACATCAAAGTAGTTGGCACTGCCATTGTATTGACCAATACCGTTGATGGCCTAGCAGATCATTAGGGCATCCGCAGTTACAGCTGGTAAGTGACTTACACCACTGTCCGGGATCTCGAGGAAAAGTGGTGACAAGGAGCCATTACCCTAAGCGAAGTCAATGATATTGGTATGGAGATCACATGGCGTGGTGCGCACTGCGTAGAGCTCCGCGGCAATGACCCCGCTGAACGTGTGGTACACGTCGGTCAGCTCGACGACGAGGTCTTCGTCCCAGGTGGGGAATTTGGGAGGGTAGGACCGTGGGTGAACGATAAGCGCGCCTTCAATGCCGTCGGTATACTCCGTATCATCTAGAAATTAAGGTCCGTCAGGGTTCTCAGGCACAAGTGACAAGGCACTCACAGTCTATCCGCCAATGTCAAGAGTACTGTGTCATTAGTACGAAGATGGAAAGAAGTTTGGCGCAGAGACGCACGGGCGCTGGCGCGGCATGTGTTAGTTCAACACTCCATCAATTCACGGACATGTTGCACTCACTGCCACCAGGTTGTGCCTGAGAAATCATCAAGCGAGAAACTAAAGATGCCGCAGGCGTCAGAGAAGACGATGAAACAGCGACGAGGCACATACTCGTAAGTAAGCGACTGGCCAGTCGGGATGCCACACTCCGTGATCGCTGCCGTACCATCGTAGTAGTTTGTGCCATTCTGAGGCTGAAACGATAGGCGTGATAGGTTATTAGAGTCATCAGTAATGTAGCTCAAGTGACGTACTATGCCGTGCCAATGAATTGATCTTCAGGGCAAAACCCATATATCAGTTGATATCACTCAGAGTAGACGAAAACGTCGCTAACGTCTTATTCGACATCTGGTTTGTGACCTTTATGATAAGCCTGTCGCCTTGGTTGGCCTCGATAGTCGGACCAGGGAACACTCCTGAGAACACATCAATCATCGCCTCAGCGGATTTGCGGCGTGCACTGACCATTTACGACGAGCATGGGCTTCGTGACGCCATCGGGAGCGCCTTCCATCTCGGAGACGACGAAGTCGTAGGTCCTCGTCGTCGGAGCTTGGCCAATGATGCTACCAACGACGAAGTTGTCGGCTCCTGGCACCGAGACGGTGTTGGCACGACGGGAAAGCTCAGAGGAGGCAGGGGACTGGTCTGGTAGAGTGCGAGCCTCTGCGCCGGTGAAGAGGGCAAGGGCCATGGAGGCAATGATGAGTGGAGTGCAGAGTGCAATGTAGCGCATGATGGGTGCACGACGAGGGCGATTTGGGAGTGCGTTTTCCTGCATCTTGCGGCAAACTAGAAGAGCTGGCGGTCCGGAGGGGTATTGCCCTGACCTTTGCAGTATTTATACGTCTTGGTAGGGATAGAACGCCTACGCGCTCAGTATCTATCCTTTGGTACTGCCAGTGCGACTTACCCCTGCCGATGGTGGAAACATGTTTGCTACCGCGATCAAAGGCATATTTGGTTAGGTGTCGTACTCGCAGAATGACATCTGCCCTCTCGAGACGACGTCCACACGATCGATTGATTTTCCCCTGTGAAGAAGGTAATTTTGTCAACGAGGTGTCACAATAAAGCACTGCTAACGTAACAGACGCGAATTACCAGAGGCTGAAGCTAGTACCTGTCGGGATCGCATTGGTTATACCGCTCCCGTTGACCTGTCCGGAGCCCTCCGTGTTGGGTACATGATGCCAGGGTCGAGTGGCAAAATTTTATGGGACATCGCACCGCCGTACGGGCGGTGTCTTGAAAACGCGCAAGTCGGTTGGGGCTGTCAGCGAACTGCCATATTGATGGCGCAGGGGATGGCGCCGTGGCCCCCAAAATGCTGTGAAGTAAATGTAACGGCGGGTTGCTGAGCCCGCTTGCGAGCATGGAGTGAGCATTGCATACGATGCGAGCCGCCATCGTGTCTAAGGCAATCGAGGGCAATCAGATGGTGATGATGCGGGCTGCTATAGGCATTGTACATGCGAGATGGCGAAAGCATTTGTTCCGCTTACCGATTCGAGCCGCCAGCATCTGCGTGTCCTGTATAGTACTGCCGATCGGTTCCGGTGTTGGATTGCAGTCAAGTTGTCGCTCAGCCAGCTTCTAAGTCAGTGAGAACAGCATAGGATGCTCGGTATCAAAGCTGGCATTTCTGGCATGCACAGTCATTCCGTGTCAAGTTATAGCAGCTCGCACGACGTAGGCCTAGTCTGAGCATTAGGGAGTCAAAGGAGGTTGCCTCTCCAGGCGCGGCGACTCATCTCCGTGTATTCTGGGTAAGACTAGTACGCGGCTCGCTGCCAGTACTCTGCTGGTAGCGTTCCTGCTTCCTCGGAGTAATACGCGTCATGGCAGGGCGTCTCCCAAACCATATATGGCAAGCGATCATTCCTCAACGGGGGCCGTCTTGAAGAGATACAAAGCCACCCAGACCCACGGACTCAGCGTGAAAGCAGAGGAGCGTCCGTGCCTGCCTCGGCCTCCTAAGCGTTTCAGATGCGACAAAGTGGTAAGGCCAAGAGTTGAGGCCATATGATACGGATTAATGTAGCGCTGGTTGCTATCCGAGCTGTCCTGTTGCTCTACGGATGCAACACATAGATGCAGAGGTCTACGAGTCCCCGCGCACGCTAGCACCGGCGCGGGCGGCAGCACCGTTGTTATGGAGAGCGCGCGCCCGCGTCGGAGCTCTCCATCCGGTATATGACCACGTCAGATGGCGTGACGGCAGAGTTTGACGCACCAGGGTTCGGTACCGGTGTAGGCTGTTCATTGGCCCGGCCTGCGGCAGAGGTACCTCGCAATTATACAAATAACCGCATTATACAAACAACCGCTTGACAGGAGTAGACCCGTAAAGCATGATCTCGGTGCACAAGCCACCATGAGCCGCGACAGCATGCAGTCTTCGCATAGTCGCGACCAGCTTAATCGCAGCGGTGCTGCTGTATATGACTGCAGGGACTATTTGACTGATAGGACTATGTACACAAGAGATCAGCGTAGTCGCCTCCTGCCTTTCAGCTGAAGACCAATTCACGTCGCCTGGGTAGTATGAGATCGCTCCTATCTGTCTTAGGCATCGGGAGCCGACAGCTAACACCTTGAAGGCGCCAGTGGTGACCAGTATGGTGCATTGAGCCGCGGGGAACACGGAATGGCACGCCACCTCAGTCGGAGAATCCATTGACAGGGCCGCCGAAGTAATGGTAGCTCCGACGAGCCCAGATGCAGACAGGTTTGCTCTGGACAAGGCGAACTTCAGGCTCATGTCTCAGGGCGTTCGGCCTCTCGCAGTACAAAATGCCGAAGCTCCATATGGGCAGAAAACATAAGGTCGTGTCACCTATGCAGAGCGATGTCAGCGACATTGCGTGTGCGGGGTCGGGGACCGAGAGCTATTATTACTGCAGCGGCAGCTGTCGACGTCGCGCGGAGCAGCCCGTGCGCTCCCCGACGCCTGCTACGTACGTACTAGCAGAGTTGCTCCGAATCTGAACCAAGATTGTCCAACTACCCGCGGTGCGATACGAGATCGGCGCTCGGTGATGTTCGCCGTTGTGGCGCTGAGAGTGTAATGAGAAGCTAGTCATACCTCCGGAGCACAATCCTCCTTTCTCCGAGGGCAGTTTGGGCACCAAAGACGCGGAAGACGCGGTGGCCCGTGGATGATGGACAGGATGTGCACGCACCTCGTACGTAAGATGTGTACCTCGGAAGCCACGAAAGCTTGAGTTACACCCCTAGGTCTTAATCGGTCCAAACTAGCCTTCCAATTGCCAGGGTCATTTACAGATAGTATTAGCTCCTGCATTATCGAAAACATCTGAAACAGACGTACGCGTTCAAGGACGAGAGGCGCTTAGAACACCGTGCAGTGCAAGGTCGCTCGGAGCGTATGATCGGCTCGAGGCAATACACAACGTGACGACGAGCGGATTGTAGCGGCGACGCGGCACTGCAATGCAATGGAGCTTCCGCCACCGACGTTCCATAGCGAGTCGTGCGGCAGTGGAAGTCTAGTTACGAATCGTCCCCAATAGTCATCGTCCCCAATGGCCCGTCATACAAGACATGTCCATCTATGCTCAGCTCTTCATACGAGCGCGTCTGTTAGAGCACGAGCATAAGATAGATTTCGAGGGATGCTCACCATACGCAGAAACTATGACCATTATCTGCTGGCAAGCATTGGGTGCCCGTGCGGCGCCAAAGAACGAAAGCAAGGTTGGGATGACAATGCTCATCAATATGGTGGCGCGGCTGTGCGATAGAGGAAAGTGAGTAACCTGAAGGAAAGCGGATCCATAGTGAGCGCTTGAATCATAAACAGTCCCACGGGTGTCGCTCATCGTGCATGCATACAATTTCATAAGTCTTGGGAGCACGCTGAAGTGTCAGACGCTATTCATGGGGGTTCGGAACGCGGGAGCTGAGACCTAGGACTCACGATGCCATGGCGGGTCCCACTCTACCATTATCGCATCCTAGTGGGGAGCAGCTCGAGGGCAGTCCTGACTATTGTCTCCTTGTTCGAGATATCCAATATTCAAATGAGGCGTCGACTCGTTGACAGGATGCGTCGGATATTGTCAGATTGCGCGTGAGCTACGTCAGATACTTCTCAGCATTCGACCCCGATGTCTAGTGCGTGAGTGCATCAGAGGTGCCCAAAAGTCTTGACGTTGCTTGTGCGTCTTAAGTTCGGAACGGACATGCCTTGGGAGGCCTTGGGTGCCTTGTTACTGTTAGCCAACACCTCCAAGACAGGTCCCAACAGCGCCCAAGGCAGGCTAATGCATACCAGATCTATGGAACCTCCAACGCCCGAATGTTTCACTGGTGGCCCGCGGTCCGCGGCTCAACGCGTCTTGGGGCCTGGGCTAGCGGACCCTGAGGCCGTAAGACTCGACTAGAGTTTGCGTTACTGACTGACCGAATTATACATAACATCAGAGCATCTCGACTGAAACTTACTTCGTGATATGTGCCGTCGTTTCTAGGAGAACGGAGAACGAATGAATTCGAGTCGCCTACGCTAAGCATCCTCTTTCGCACCTATGGCGACCCAGGCGGCCGAAAACAACCCGCTCGCATCGACGCTATCTGGCCAAGACCGCCCCACGCGTTCGACTCGCGCGGCGCAGAAATGACATAGCGACAAGTTCGTTAGTCTCGTCCCCAGCCATTCTAGCGCGCCCGGACTTCGCCGGTCGGAGACTGCGTCGGACATCAATGGTGATGTGCAGTCTCTCGCTAGAATGTCTGGTCCACTTGGATCATCCGGGGGGGCCTCATTCGCACGTGATCTACACGCTCCCTGAGGAAGTGACCGCCTGCGCACCGCCAAGTTGCTGGTGATGAGTAAGGCGTTCGTGTATGCAGTCAGACATATATGTAAAAGTGCCTCTGATATATTCTTGAGTACATTTGTGTTTTTATAAGCCCCCTGCAACGGAGAGTACCACTGCAGCCCAAATAGCCGCCAACGGCAGGCTACGGGCGCGGTATGTGTGCGCGTCAGTCACGTGCGGACGAGACCCCCCCGGATGATCCAAGTGGACCAGACGCTCTAACGAGCCAGTGCACTTTGCTTTCAAAGTCCGATGCACTGGCCGACAGTGTTTACACGTCGGAGTTAAGAGCGGA